TGTTTAGACTATTGAGATTTTAAGAAAAAAATAGATGAATCATCCTAAAAAAAAAAAAAAAGAGTAGCTTCACTAAAGAAGGTGGCCTGGAAATTATTCTTTAGTCTAGCTTTCATATTTCTGAGCTACACAAAATAGAACAGCCTTCCTGTTGTTAAGATAAAAAGATAGTGTGTTAACATCACATTCTTATGCATTGTGACTTGGTGACTGTGTGTAATGCCGACCCACTCTGGGAAGAGTAGTCATTTTCAGTTAATCTCATGTGGAGAGCCCCAAAGATGTAAAGTATAAATAAAGTACACATGTCTGTGACAGGTGTGGTGTCTAAGCAGCACTTACTCTACATTATCAGTAGGAGGACCCACTGCTGATTTATGGGGTCACCTGTGGACATTTGTACTTCTATGCAGACACAGGGCACTCACTGGGAAGGCAGAAAACACAGTTGAAATCCTGGCACTTCTTTACCCTTGCTCATTGCCCTGGCTGGTGTGCACAGACGGCGCTGAGCCTTCGTCTCTTCATCATTAAATTGGAGATGGGATGGGTGGGGACTGTCAGTAATTTCTGTCTCTGAGGGCCATCAAGAGCACCGAGTGATGGATGCTCACAGCTGGGCCCGGGGCCTGGCTCACAGTCAGTCTCAGCACTTCACGTCTAAGCAGCAACACAGTAGGATTCTGCGTGCCACACATGAGATTGGGAGGCGGATTGGACTAGCTTAGGTGGAGAAATTGGACATGTCCGTGTTCACATAGCATGATTCATGTCTGCTCCGCTGTTGCTGCTGCTGCTGCTTTCCTGTAACCAATTTTAGAGCCTGTCTTGGCAGCTGGAAGTATTTGGGATTAATTTCACACTCGCTTTATGAGTTGAGTGTTTTCCTGCAGCTCCCTGGGCCTCTGCCTCGTTACTTTGGCATCAACTGATATGGCCATTGGACAGAGATGTCCTTTGGGGTCTCCATTTTATTTGGAAACCATCAATTTGAAAAAGCAAAACAAAGGCCCTCAGCACATTGTGCCTGAAACCGTCGCATTTGTTGCTTCCTGTAGCCCTCCCTTCTCTGGATCTGTTGTTCACTCGGGACACACAACTTGCTCAGACAGCGATGAGCCCTGAAAAGAGAGATCACTCGCCCTCCAGTGTTAAGCGCCAGAAGCTGGTTGGCTTCATTTCTCTTAGTTCCAGGTGATCTGGGAGATCTCTTGGGTCTTGGTCATTCAGATCTGAATCTCGATGGGTCTAGTTTTTCCAGCTCTTTTTAATATGCTAATTCTGCTTAATTCATTTGGCTCTCATGGTGAACAAAGTAAACTTGGCTGTTACATGCAAAACTAAATCGAGAACATGGAGATCTGTTTAGTATTTCATGCTGGCCAGTAGGTCAGGACGATTTTCCTTGGGGGTAATTTACATAAGGAATTGTTTATCCCATTTCTCTCCAATTTCTGTGATCGTTTGGGGATAACAGACTCTTTCCACAATGGCACAGAAATATAGCCAGCGAGACTGAAACTTTGAGAGACAGTGCTTCTCCCAGATTGATGTATTTTGGGCCTTGTTCTGGAAAGATCCTGTGGCTTGGGCTGCTGTCTTACTAAGTCATTCTTTCACTCCAGCTGTGTTTAGCAAGTTGGGTGGGTCCACAAACTGACATGTTGCTACACTTAGTGAGAATTTTCCCTTGGTAGTTGGGAACATGCGTAGAAGCTTCATGGTGTCCCATTGAGTGAGTGCCCCAAGCATCTGTTATTCCTGATGGTGCTCTATTGACTGACAGGGACACACAGAATACTCAGGGCCTTTGGAGTTAAGTGCTGCTCTCCACCTGAACACCCCCATGAACAACCTCTTCATTTTCATCCTGCGCCTCCTCAAGCACTCTCTACTCTTCTGCTTTGTTGTAATTGTGTCTTCTTTTAAAGGCCCCTCCCCACTACCTGTGTGTTGGGAGGCCTCCATTCTCAGCTGTGTGCAGGAAAATGATTAGCATTACCTCTGGTGCAGAGGGCAGAGGGCAGAGGGAGCTGGCTCTAACACTCTAGGAGTTTTCTGTTATAGAAAACTCTAGTAGCAGATTTCAAGCTGTTGATGTCTCCAAGCACAGAGTTGGAAGAGTGGGCAGCAGCCTACTTCTGCAAAGTGTTAACCAAAGACAGATATAATAAGCAAAGATTACCACAAGGCCTACAGAACAGCGGGAAATAATGAGTTTTGAATATTTATTGCCTTTGTTTCTTTATAATTTAATTTCAAGTTCTATAATTTTTAGTAATGGCCATATGAAATAAGTGACTTGCAAATTTCCTGAAAATTGAACAATTGGTTCCTTCTCTTGACCTGGGAGGGGCTCACTGAGCCATCCCCAGTGTGCCTCTCCCCCACATGCTCCTCTCTGAAGCCATCCAAGCCCAGCTGTTGTTAGAACAGCCCTCTCCGAACCTACAAAGTGCTTACATTCTCAAGTGGGCTGGGCAGAGACAGACCCCAGTGCTTGAGTTCTGGGCTTTTATTTACTAGGTAGAGATATAGTCAGACTGGCTGCTTAATTTGAAGATCCCAGTACAAAATGAAAATGATGGGCCCTGCTTAGGCAGGCAGGCAAAAAGGGGTATTAAAACAGCTACTAAAATAGAAAATCTTTTCCTTTCTTCAGTGGTCTGATTTCCACAGGTTTTGATCCAAATTTTGTTTTCTATTTTGTATCTTTCAAGTAAAGAAAAATTTAAAACTTTAAGTTTCTGTCAGTTTTACTAGCAATTTTTTTATGGTCAATGCCAATTTTAAATGCAACTCTAAAAGCATTTCACTCGTGTACTTGGATGCATCTACCACCTCCTGCTCATGTGCACACTCTATTTTCTTGATGACTTCAGGGACCTTTCTAAGCATGCACAGCCTCAATCTTCTCACTTTGTCCAAGAGAAAGGTGTCATATAGGTACCAGCGACTGATGACACTGATCACACACGGCACAGAGCAGAATCCATGGCATACCATTTCTGCTCACTTAACTGAAGGATTATCCTTAACAGTCACAGCAGTGATGCAGTTTTCTTTTGGGGTCTATAGGACCTTCCTGACACGGTCAATATTTGCCTCCCTCACTTTATTTTTCTTCTCTAGTATGAAATCTTGGAATGTAGAGATTAGATCTGTCACTAGTGTGCCCCCTATAGTGCATTCTGCAAATTCCTGCACATACCTGGTACTCAGGAGATGTTCATGACCTTGATCTTTCTATGAGTTCAACTCTTGACTGTAAGCAATCTGTCAGTATCATTGCTCCACAATGATGCTTAATTTTTAACACTCACAGCAAGACAGAGAGCGAGCTTAGACTTTCACAGGAGCTGGTTGTGTTCCTGGTGAGATGACATATGATTTCAGGTGTCACGGTTTAAGCAAAGTGGCCTCTCCCATCTCTTTTAGAAGACTTCTTGAAGTAATGGGAAAGGGATGAGTTCCAACTCCACTTGAGTAAAAGAGGCCCCAGGGATATTAACTCTGGTCCATCATAATCAGTCCCTTGCTAGCTTCTTTTACACTTTCTTTTCTGCACAATTAGAACATTATTATAGTAATGCTTCTTCCCACTAATTGGTTCTGTATGTATGCTTTCTTTTAAACAATTATGAGGTCCCGTGGGCTAAAAGCTCTCGTCTACTTCTTTAGAATGCCAGAGGAAAGCACAGTCCTAGGCACACAGTAAGCAGTGCATTTTATGTGGTGCTGGCCTTGGTTCAGACCCCATGGCTCCCTGGAGAGCTGACTGAACTGTAATTGGCTTCTGTAACTCCTTTAAGATGTTGGTCACATGGCAAAGAATCCTGGTGCTCACAGCATGTTCAGGCAAAGATCTTTGGTTGTGCTGTCTTTCCATAGCTCACATCTCGTTTCCAGTGTCTCCTAGACACTCTGACGACTGTCCCTGTGGAGCCCCTCGCCCCACATGGAATTTGAGAGACCACACAGCTGTAGACTCTCCTTGTTTGAATGATGATGTTTTAACAAGCCCTTTGGGCCAGTGTCAATAAGCCATGAAATATCACCAAATGGCTCGTCTGCACCAGACTTCTGAATCTCATCTGAGTCCTCAAGCTGGCGGGGACTTTGAGAAGGAGTTTATTGCTCCAGGGTTGGCTCTTCCTGTTCTGGGGACTATAGACGCTATGAATCTCTGGGGCAGTCAGTTCATTACTTTTAATGAGCACAGAATTCACCAAGACATTAAAATAAAATAGAATCAAACACCAATGGGCAGACTTGCATATTCCACCCAATTGTTGCTTTAGTTCCTTTTTCCACAAGATTATTCAAGAGAAGTGTTTAAGGCAGATTCTATTCAGTCCTGCCAAGTTCTATCCTGAGTAGATTTGGCATTGCAAACCTAACACACCCTGAGCTGTTTTTAATGCCCTGTGGGTTGGTGTCTGACATTTGTGTTAAAATGACAGTTTTCAAACTGATCAGATAGTTGAACATTGTTTGACTTTTACATATGTTAAAGAATTGAATATCCCAATGTTTTTAATCTATAAAGACAAATTTAAAAGGTAAGTTATTTTCCGGAAAAAAAAGTGACGAAGTTGTTTAAAACACAGAAATATAGTTAGTTTGATTTTATTTTAATTGCTCAGTCTTCAGAGCTAATTATAAAAACCTGAAATAGTTTTACTCTTGAGTACTCATATCCCCACATACGGAAGGAAGCCAGCTGATAGCGACGCACACACATGGAACAATGTCCCTGTAAAGCTGATCTGTGGCTGTTCCTACCCTGGCCATATGGATTTGGAATTACTTGAGACATTTTCTCAAAGAAGGAAGCTAGTAGATGAATGATGACTTCTTCATTATTCAACCTAACTGGGTCTGTGGAAGACAAAGTTCATCGAGTTGTTTGGAAGGAAAACAAAAGTGTGCCAAATGTACCTTGTTGGGGGCTCGGGGACTGTGAAATCATCCCTAACCCAAGTGTATCGTCCCTTCAGGTGATTGCTCTAGCAGATGCCGTGGAGGAGAACCAAGACAAGCTGTTGCAGTCCTCCGCCGGCCTGAGGAGTGCCACCCATTTGCTGATCCTGCTGGTCAGGCTGTGGCAGAAGCTGAGCGCTGACCAGACTGCTATTCTAGAAGCAGCATTTCTGCCCCTCCAGGAAGACACTCAGGAACTGGTAAGGACCCATAAGCCCCACAGCTGCATAATTGAAAAGGCTTTGGTTTGGGGGAGATATCACATGGCTACCTATGTTTTTTAAGGCATCAAAGGGGGCTGTGTTTTTACAAAAACGCTGTTTTCTTTTTCTTTAAACCATAATAAAAGTGTCATATGACGGCACTTTTCTTTCCTCCTTGAGCGGTTTTAAAAATAGGTATATAGTCCATTTTTATGTAGTACCCAGTCTGTTTTTATGTGCTCCTCAATCTCTGAGAGGCAGAGAAGCAGTCACTTGACAGCCTGAGTGATCACAGTAAAGCCTCCAGATTAGCTAATCCTCCCCAAGTCTGCCAGACAAAACAGCTCAGTCATTTTAATTTGTTCGATGTTCTTAAATTTTAGTGTCACTTCAAAGGTTAGGGTACTGAGATGGCTTTGCTGAAAGTGATGGGAACAGTTCTTTGCATTTACAGAGTTCTTTATAATAGTTCATAAAGCCCTTTGCCTGAGAAGAGGCATTTCAGAATGAAATGGGAAAAGTGAGTCTGTGAGTTAGATTTTAACCAGAGAGTCCATTAACTAAAAACACCTAACTTCTGTGATTCATAGATGTGCACAGGCCCAGGTGCCTTCTGGATGGCCTTTGTGCTTTTATCTGTGGAGAAATAATAGGCCCCTTGGAAACCAGAGATCCAAACTCAGCTCTTGTGGTGGTTGTTTCCAGATTTCAAACCTGGATCTATGAATGTGGTTATGAAGGTGACAGTACTGAGGCTGTTATTCCAAGAGCTCGCCTGGCACTGTTGCAGTGATTTTCCAAGAAATGTCTCCTTTCGTCATAGATGTGGCACCGATGGTAGCTTAAATGATGTCTCCATCTCCATTTTACAACGACAACAACAACAACCCCCTGAGTTTTCTATAGTCAAATACATTTCTAACACTGGTGGCAGCAGGGGCAGCATTTGGACCCAGTCTGTCTGCTCAGAAAGTGTGTGCTTTTAGCCAGGTAACTTGCTTTACTGAACACATTCATTGTCTTAGTTACTTTTCTACTGCCATGAAGAGATGCCATGGCCAAGGATACTTTAAAAAGAAAACATTTAGTTTGATGTTCATGGTTCCAGAGGGTTAGATCCAATGACCATCATGGCTGGCCAGGAACATGGCAACAGGCAGTAAGCATGGCAGTGGAGCAGAGAGAGACAGAGAGAGACACAGAGAGAGACACACACACACACACACAGAGACAGAGACAGAGACAGAGACAGAGACAGAGACAGAGAGAGCTAACTTGGAATGGTGTGGACAAAGCCCACCCCTAGTGACATACCTTCACCAATATAGCCACACCTTCCAGTCCTTCCCAAACCCAACTGGGGACCAAGCATCCAAATATATGAGGCTATAAGGCCCATTCTCATTCAAATCATCACAGTCATAAAAATCACAAGTTTTATCAGCTGCATCAAGTTTTTTTTAAAAGAAAAAGCTTTATTTTGTGACCTAAAATATTAATAAATACACTGGAAAAAAGGAATGCATTTTTGGTTGTAAGTGATATAAAGAGGCTGACTTTTTTTTTAATGTCAAATTGACCTTCAGTAGCAGAACTGGAGCTGCTTAACTGCAGTGAGAGAAGGAACAGTGTGGTGGGACCAGATTATTTATAAACTCGCTTTAGGAGGCGAAAGGCCTCGCTTAATCTCCAGTTTCGGTTCTACCACAAATGACGGTCACTGTGGTCCTCAGCTGTTCTAAACTTCAAGGGGCAAGCTGGGCTCCACCCCAGAAGCTTCGAGAGGAGCTGAAAGGGACAGCTAAGTAGAGCACCGGAAGTTAGAGGTCAGCATTGGAACCTTTATGACAACTGTCCATCTCTCTGCCTTGCTCAGAAGCAAGGATCATACTTAGGTCCTTTTACATTCTTAGGACTTCTTTCTGGACTGGTACGTCGTCAGTGCTTATCCAGTGGAAGAAGGTGGGGAATAGTGAGGGCGGACGAGAAGCAAGCAGTACCGGCCAAGCCATGTAATCTGTGTAGCCCAGTGCGAAGGGGAACCTACACCCCTTGTTCAAAGAGTAGGAGCAGTGGTGCTGTCGGGCTGCTGAGATGGTTCCGCAGGTAAAGGCAATGCCATGCAAGCTTGACCACCCAGGCTGTCTGCCTGGAGACCGGGGAAAGGCACAAGGAGAGAACCGATGCCACAAAGTTGCCGTTGGACCTCCTCATGTGCACTGTGACACGCCATCTCCCCAGCTCACACACATTCACACACACATGTACCCCCCCCCAAAACTAAAAACTAGAAGTCACAGTGAATCCATCCTCCTCCCCGAATCCTATTTCCTTGTCTGCAGGTTCTGAATCTCTGTGTTCTGTGTTCAACTACAGACCAAAAGTGTTACTATGTAAATATTGTCTTGACAAGAGAGAAACTACATTAGCATAGTGTTTATTGTAGTGTGTTGTTATGATTCTTTGATTTTATGATTAGTTATTGTCAACTTCTTTTCTGTGCCTACTTATATATTAGTTGTATATTGTATATAAAACATATGTTTGTGTAAGGTTTGGATTCAGGCACCCACTGCAGGTTTGGTATAGCAGGGGTGAGGAAATGTGCTATCAAGAAAGAGATTTTTGGCCGGGCGGAGGTGGCTCACGCCTTTAATCCCAGCACTCGGGAGGCAGAGCCAGGCGGATCTCTGTGAGTTCGAGGCCAGCCTGGGCTACCAAGTGAGTTCCAGGAAAAGGCGCAAAGCTACACAGAGAAACCCTGTCTCGAAAAACCAAAAAAAAAAAAAAAGAAAGAGATTTTTGTTTTGTGGTTTTTGTTTTTCTTTCTTCAATTTCTCGCAACTTGTCATTTTTTTTATTTGCTCTTTCATGTCCTAGGTAAAGAACAATTAAAAACTGATTTTTATTAGAATGAAACTTACTACTTATCTTTATAATATTCAGTTCCACTCTACGTTCTTAAGTGTGTGTGTGTGTGTGTGTGTGTGTGTGTGTGTGTGTGTGTGTGTGTTACACTGTGTGTGTGGAGGTCAGAGGACAACTGAGGAGAGTTGGTTCTCTCCCACCACCATGTGGATTTTGGAATTGAACTTAGGTTGAGTGTGTTCACCATGTAGGTCTTAGAGAACAGCATCTTTTAGAAAAACATGAGTGTATTCACCTTGTATGCCATAAAGAGCAGAGCCCTATAGAAATACATGAGTGTATTCACCATGTAGGCAGTTGAAAGACTTAGTCCCTTCCTCCTTCTTGGAGACTTCCTACCTTTCCTCTCCATACACCCTCTATTCTCTAAAAAAATGCAGAGAAAGTTTCTTCCAACTTTCTTCTTAATGTGGTGAGATGAGGTGTGTGTACTTGTGTCTGTTGGATATAAGACATTTGAAAAAAAATAGCCTGAAGAATGAATTCAAATAGTAATTTGAATACTTCTTGTTATACTTTTCATCTTTAATTGGACTTTTTTTTTTCACTTTGGAGTTATTGTTGAGACAGCTTGTGTCTTAAAAGAAAAGGAATACTTTTTCATTTTTAAGATATACACATACAGTGTGTGGTTTTGACATGCTAGTTCACAATTCCCCATGCTGTGTCTATAGACCTCACAAATAAATGTTATATGGTAGGACTCTGTGCTATCCAACTGAGACATGAAAATGAAATATTCAAACCTGAAATAATTTGAGAGGAGGGCAAGGCAGGAAAGAAAGGAGTCTCTTACCACAATGTTGAAAATATACCCCATATTGAAGTTATTATGATACCACAAAAATCTGAATGCAATTTACATGGTTTGGTTGAGGGTAGATGGCAGAGTACATGTGTGAGGGGGAGAACCCCAGGCATATGGACAACATTTCCAGAAGACACTGTCAGCTCAAGGTCAGATGTCCCCACAAGTATTGAGAGGTAGAAAGAAATTCTCAGATGATGTTTATGTTTCAAATAGCTCTGGATAATCTGTATAATGATTTGTTGTATTGTTATTTAGATGGAATGTGTCAGCAGGCAAGCTAAATTCAGTAGAAAACTCTAGAATAGTTTCTTCCTAATGATATCAGCTTCACAAAGCAAACACCATTCAGAGCCTTCCTACACAAGTGGAATACAGCACTCTTCACATGGTGTCATCAACTGTCATTGGTAGTGGAAAGCAGTGTCCCTTCTATGACATCATCAGCAGTCAGTGTTAGTGGAAAGCAGTGTCCTTGTAGACGTCATCAGCAGTCAGTGTTAGTGGAAAGCAGTGTCCCTTCTATGACATCATCAGCAGTCAGTGTTAGTGGAAAGCAGTGTCCTTGTAGACGTCATCAGCAGTCAGTGTTAGTGGAAAGCAGTGTCCCTCGTATGACGTCATCAGCGGTCAGTGTTAGTGGAAAGCAGTGCCCTTCATATTATGTCATCAGCAGTCAGTATTAATGGAAGGCAGTGCCCTTTTCACAGTGGCATCAGCGGTCAGTGTTAGAGGAAAGCAGTGCCCTTCACATGCTATCGTTAGCAGTGAGTGCTAATCATCAGTATTTTGTCTGAAACAGCACTGCGTTTGCAGCAGAACTCAGGGCTGTTTTCTTTACCCCGGCTCTTCAGGGACACTTTTCCATTTTTTGTCACTTTCCAGTAGCAAATAAATGCTGGTATTTCAGACTACTGCATGTTCTTTTTGTTTGTTTGTTTTTTGTTTTGTTTTTTGAGACAGGATTTATCTGTATAACACTCCTGCCTCCAGCTCACAGAGATCCACCTGCCTCTGCCTCATGAGTGCTGGGATTAAAGGCGTGCACCACCACTGCCCTGCTGTTTGCTTGTTTGTTTTGGGGGTGCTGAAACTTATATGCACCAGAGATGCTTTGTGGAGCTGCTTTGCCTACTGAGAAAAATATGAAAGACTTTGTTTAGTTTCTAAGAGCTCTTCAGGATAGTTCCACTGGTGGATTTGATTATTAAAATTGCCACTGTCCTATTCCTGTAATGATGGCAGACATGTATTCCAAAAT